TTTATTTTAGAACCACTATTGCAGTAATCATTGTAGATAATTTGCTGCACGTACATACACATATACACAGACACAAGCACAAACGCGCACTCAGACGCACGCACTCATACACACACACACACACACACACAAGCGCGCATGCACACACACACACAAATACACTCACACACACAAACAATCGCACACGCACACACAGATATATGTGTACATGTATCTGAGGAGAGGATTAAGACCAGCTGTTGCCATAATCCGTGAGTTGCCAAATGAAGGTATTTCTCAGCCCCGTCGCTGCTCCTTCGCTCGTTTCAGTGGCACTCGAGTCTCCTCGCTCGTTCCAGATGGTGCCTTTCCGGTCTTTCTTGGGCATATTCCAGAAATGACCCTTTGGTACCCGTTTGCATTTCCAAAGGAGTCGTTTTGGTACTCTTTTTTTTTTGCATTTCCAAAAGTCTCCCTTTGGTACTCTTTTGTATTTCCAAAGGTGTCGCTTTTGGTACTCTTTTTGCATTTCTAAAAGTCTCCCTCAAATACCCTTTCGCATGTCCAAAATGACCCCTTTGGTATCTTTATGTATTTCCATAAGTGTCCCTCTGGTACCCTTTCGCATGTCCAAAATAACCCCTTTGGTATCTTTATGCATTTCCATAAGTGTCCCTCTGGTACCCTTTCGCATGTCCAAAATGACCCCTTTGGTATCCTTATGCATTCCCAAAGGTGACGTTCTGGTACCCTTTTCCATTTCCAAAAGAACCCTCCTGGTAGCCTTCTGCATTTTCCAAAAGTACCTCCACTGATACCCTTTTCCATTTCCAAAAGAACCCTCCTGGTACCTTTTCCATTTCCAAAAGTACCCTCCTGGTACCCTTTTCCATTTCCAAAAATAACCCTCCTGGTACCTTTTCCATTTCCAAAGTACCCTCCTGATATCCCTTCGCATTTTCCAAAAATACCTCCTCTGGTCCTTCAAAGATTAGATGTCATAAGAGTAAGTAATAACGACAAAGATAAATAAATAATAATAAAATAAGTGAATAAATAAAAATGAAAAATAAAATAACACAATAACAAAAAAAAAAATTAAAATGCGCTAGGCTTTAAGTAATAATAAAACAAGTGAATAAATAAAAATAAAAAATAAAATAACACAATAACAAATAAAAAAATTAAAATGCGCTAGACTTCAAAGGTTATATAGCACGAAGTTATTATATTGTTGTGGGAAAGCTTTTTCAAAGTTCTTTTTTAGAGTTCAAATGTCATATTTCAATGGTCAATTATTGTATGATAGTTTAGTAGTCAAAGGAGTAGAAAGAAGGGGTATATGGGGGTAGGATAGGTGTTGATAAAAAGAGAAAGGGTTAGATAACATAAGAAGATACAACGGGATTTTAAATGACCTTGGACTTTAAATAATCTTGGAATTTAAATGACCTTGGAGTTTAAATGACCTTTCGATTTGAAATGACCTTGGATTATAAATGACATTTTAAATGACTGGATTTTAAATGGCCTTGGATTTTAAATGACCTTGGACTTTAAATGAAATTGGACTTTAAATGACCTTGGACTTTACATGACCTTGGATTTTAAATAACCTTGAATCTTCAATGACCTTGGAATTCAAATGACCTTGGATTTTAAATAACCTTGTGGGACGCTGCTGACGACCTTATTCCGCTGTTATGTCCGTTGGAAATCCCTAAATATCTTTGATATTGGTACTTTTCAGATACCCCTTATCATATGCTTCAAACACATGCTTATATTTTCCTGTGGCAATTCCTGCGCTAGCGTGTGTGTGTGTGTGTGTGTGTGTGTGTGTGTGTGTGTGTGTGTGTGTGTGTGTGTGTGTGTGTGTGTGTGTGTGTGTGTGTGTGTGTGTGTGTGCGTGCGAGCGTGCGTGCGTGTGTGTGTGTGTGTGTGTGTGTGTGTGTGTGTGTGTGCGCGTGTGTGTGTGTGTGTGTGTGCGTGTGTGTGTGTGTGTGTGTTACGTGTGCATGTGCTTGTGTGTGTGTGTGCGTATGCAGGCTTGCGTAGATATATGTGTATGATCACGTGAACACATCGCAATGAAAAAATATTCAACACAGGACCACAGACTGAAAATCGATCATAGATGAGTTCTAAGACAACGTGTTCTAAGACAATGAATTCTAAGACAGTGTTCAATGGCCTAAAAGCCCTATTGTTCGGATTTTCGAGTCCCTCTGGCTTATTCATAACCTAGATTGAGGGGGGGGGGAGGTCTGTCCGTCGATGTTTCACATTCTTAGACGTGACACCTTATATTTCATTATTATTTGACAATGTTTTGCGCAAGTTTCTTGTGGGAGAAAACGTTGCCATTAACTATAATATCAATAGTACCAAATGCGCTCTAATTATCATTACCATGGTTATTAATAATACTATCATCGTCATCCTTATCATTATCTATTTCTATTCAATCTTTCATCAATATCATCTTTATTTCGCTGACTTCTGCACAATATTTTTTTCACCCTTACGCCACATATCATATTTCAATACTTTCAAATTCCATTAAACGTATTTTAAACTGTGCACCAAAATAATATCCAGACAACATGCACCACATAACGATATATGTTATTTAAAAATGCACAAGGGAAGCGGGTATTGTGGGTAACATTTATATTTGGAACGATCAGCTGACCTTTTTTCCTAATGGGATTCGGTTAAAGTATTTATCAAAACCGTTGGTGGAGCTGCTGCAATTCCACATTTTTCTCCAGTTCCATTGTTCATGTATTTCTTTTGTCAGAGAAATTTCGCACGATTTCAATACCTATTTTTGGTGATATCTTCAAACATACAGTAAACTCGAATCATGAAATAGAAGAAAACGCATAGTTTGAATTAATACTTATTTTTAAAAAGCCAATCCCCTGAAAAGCCAGAAGCAATCATAAAAAAAAGTTAAACACGAGACAGGTTTCTCACGATCCTGCGCCTCACAAACGTAAACAAGAACTACAAGTAAAATAATAAACTAAACATCTTGTCATTTAGATCGATTTTTCCTTTCTTCAAAGCGACTTAATGGCACTAAAAGTGAAGGGGACCGAGTGAAGTTCATTCGGAAATGACAGAACGAATAATTCCGTAAATGCTGAAGTTTTAAATTCTAAAAATACAGGCAAAATATCCAAGTCGTCAGGCACATGCAGAAAAAGAGTAGGTGCATAAAGAGATAAAAAGAAAGGAGGGAGAATGGGGGGGGGGGGAGGAAGGAAGGAAGGAATAAGGATAGAGAGAGAGGGGGGAGGGAGAGGAGAGAGAGAGAGAGAGAGAGAGAGAGAGAGAGAGAGAGAGAGAGAGAGAAGAGAGAGAGAGAGAGAGAGAGAGAGAGAGAGAGAGAGAGAGAGAGAGAGAGAGAGAGAGAGAGAGAGAAGAGAGAGAGAGAGATAGAGAGATAATCAGGATGAACAAACCGATAAAAAGAGGGACAATATAAAAAAGAAAAAAATAGTTACTATCAATAACAAAGGTCTCCGTTAATGAGAACTGGGGAAAATCTTTATTTGACCACTATTCGTCGCACTCCCTTTAGTTTGTCCCGGTGGTGGTAGATGGCGTTGAATGACGGCCAAAAATCACGATGATTGTTTCCAAATCGATCGAATATTGTTTGTTTATTCGAAATATTGCGATCACTGGGCGAGGCTTAGTATTTTGGTTCATAAGGCGATGTTTGTGGATTCCCAGAATGGGTATTGGTCAAAATAAATAGGTGTGCCAGTCGTCAGAGGTCATACAGCACTACGATAAAGCATTATGGAAAAGGTTGAAAAATGAGTTAATTAGGATAAAATCTGTTAATTGTCAAAGGTTGTAGAACGCTGTAGGTTAGTATAGTAGTGAAAATGGTTAAAGTGGGAAGACCAAATGGCGTACGAAGGCTGTTCAGGACTTGACACCAAGCTAGCCTTTTATCCTTACAGCACGACTCTCACACCTAACAAGTAGATGAAGACAGGAAAAGGAATGAGGGAAAAGACGCTGCAAATTTAGAAGCGTTGTCTCCTAAACAACATCGACCAAGGGAATGGGGGGGGGGGGAGGGATCAATTGAATCATAATCATGTCGGAATATTTACCATGTTTCAATTAGACTATGTATGGAAACGACACTGCGAAAAAATAAATATATGAAACTTATTTTTTATGCAATTTCCATCACAAATGAAGAATAAAACAGCTAATTGATACAGAAGTGAAGTGTATAGATCAAAACGTGATACTGTGCACGTTATCAAAATAGAAAATTAGTCATTAATATGCATTTTATATATTCATCAAAAATAATTCAGATTCGCTCATACCTTAATTACTTAAAGCACGAGGACTTTACCCACGGTCTATACAAATGCTAATTGACCTTGAACACGCACGCATGGTCTAAATAAGCACGCAAGGTCAATCAATTTCAGTACTTATATACCTTACTTATACAGACCTTTCTCGCATGCATGCGTGCTGACAAAAGAATCTAATAACTTCTTTGAAAATTGTACCGGAAACAGGGGTATAGGAGAGGAGAAAAAAGAGAGAAGAGAAGAGAAAAGAAGAGAGGAGAGGGAAGAGGAGATAAAGAGAAAAAGAGAGGAGAGAGCAGAGAAGAGAAGAGAAGAATAGAGAATAAAAAAGAAGAAAATATAAGAACAGAAAAGAGCAGAGAAGAGGAGGAGAGAGAAGAGGAAAAAGGAAGAGTGGAGAGGAGAGAAGTTAGAAGAGGGGAGAAAAGAGTTGAGGAGAGGAGAAAAGAAAGAGAGGAATGAAGTGGGAAGGAAAGAAGAGATATACGATAAGAAGGAGGGAAGGGGGCGAAGAGAGAAGTTGGGGGAGGAGAGGAGCAAAGAGATGGAGAGGGGAGAGGAGAGACATGAGAAAAGAGAGAGAAAGTTTACATTTTGTTTTTATGCACAATCTTAGCAGTGATTTTTTCATTATACATATAACTCTGGTAAAAAAACGACACATTTTTCAATAAATTTATTGACAAATGTAACAAAATCCATTATTTCTGTTCAACTTCACAAGTTGAAACAATAACAAGTAAATCACTATATTTCCAGTTATTATACTAACATGAAATGTTCACGAGCCTTATCCATACAACTTTCTTAGGAATCTTGTGGATGCGTCTTTACTGACTTATCACAAAATTGTTTCTAAACCTAGTGATCAATTTTCTATCTGATGTCACTATACAACCCACTCTGCCTGTCAATCATATCAATACTGGGCTTATGAAGGATCAAAACTGTGTCCTATGATGGAATACTCTCCTATGACTCATATGGCTGGAATGAATGGTAAACTAGAAAAAAGGACATTCCTGACAGCATTATATGAAAAAGTTCTTCAAGATGTTGATCCAGATGTTCAGTCTCCACACACTGGCAACCTGCAAGACAAAAAAATAAAACAAATTTCTGAAAATAAAATAAATATATTTTTTTCTATTTTTCCCTCTCCCTCTGTTATCTTTCCCTTACACACATTTTAAACTGGTAAGAATTAGGATATTACCAGTTGACCATCTTTCTTAAAGAGATTCCTATCATAATCTGAGCTATTGATAACCGACTCCAAACCAATAGCTTGCAGCACTATTCCCCAAAATCTTACAGGCCAGTAATTTTCTCAGGCCTCGGAGACCCCTAACCCAATGGTTGTCGATTCATCTGCTTTCAGGGCTTAGCCACCAAAAGGTCAAGAAGTAGACTATAGTGACAGCACTTGATTTCTTCATTCCTTGAACTTTGGGGAGAAGGTTTTTCTTATGCTATTAATATTGATGCTAATATTATCATTATCATAATGTTCTTAAAATACTAATAGCAAAATAAAATATATTTCCAAAAACAATGGAAAAGGACAAACAGCTCAGATAAGTAGGGCTAACAGCTGACTCCTTCGTGATTAAGTACTTGTGGAGTCAAATACTTTTAAGCTTATGCTATTTCCCCGATTAGACTGATAACCTGCCATTCTCCTATCTTTTTTTATTCTAAGACTAATCATACAAAGGTCAAGATTACTGCAGATTTTTTTGTGAATAGCCATCTTAGACTTTTAAGGAACTTCTATTAGAGTTTTGACCCTAAAGTTTTTCCATTTATGACAAGTCTTATCATGGAAGAGAGAATCAATAAGTAAATAAATAAATAAATAAATAAATAAATAAATAAGCAGAAAACACAAAGAATATGAGACTGGAAAAAAATCACAAAGACTGATAGATGTTATGTATTTGCTTATTAGCCATAGCTTCGTACAAAACCAATGAACCAAGAAAAGGCAACATTCTAATGGGATAAACTGATATCAAACAGATGCAGCAGCTTAATAATCTTTAGAACACATTAAATAAGCATTGCATATAAACACACAAAAAAAATAATAAACGTTGGATTTACAAAGTTTTATGTTAACATAAAACAGCTACTAAATAATTACCAATTTACAAATTCCTACAGAATTTATTTCCTAAAAACACCTAAACACTAGTACACTAGGCTGGGAAAGTATTGCTGCTCGAGAAGAAAACCAAGAGAAGAAAAAAGACAGTGGAAGTGTAGTTACTTGATTAAAATCTGAATCTAGGGATATTTTTTTCGTTGTGTACCAAGGAATCAAGCAAACAAATTTCTACTCTAAACAGAAAATAGAAGGAAGGGCAACAGGCTGACAAGTAGAGAAATATGGATAACCTGCTGGAATAACCAGTGGACCTAATGATTTAATTATCAAAATCATAATGGTTGGCAAGGATTAATACTCAAAGTCATTGACATGGTACCCTGATAGATAAGAAATTTAGTACTGTGTGTTGTGGTAGTTAGGAACCACTGCTCTAAACAACAGGTTCCAGCTGACATTCCAACTCTAGTAACAATAATGATAAAAATAATTCCCAAATTGCTACTGCAATTTGGGAATAGTTGGGCTAAAACTCATGAAAAGAAGTTCCTCTCATAACTATTATCCCGATGCTTCTAAGGATGGCATGTACATCATGATGATGATGATGATAATAAAAATGGTAATGATGATGAGAAGAAGAGAAAGAGAAGACAAGACAAACAAGACAAGACAAGACAAGACAAGACAAGACAGAGAGAAGAAGAGAAGAGAAGAGAAGAGAAGAGAAAGAAGAGAAAGAGAAGAGAAGAGAAGAGAAGAGAAGAAGAGAAAGAGAAGAAAGAAGAGAAGAGAAGAGAAGAGAAGAGAAGAGAAGAGAAGAGAAGAGAAGAGAAGAGAAGAGAGAGAAGAGAAGAGAGGAGAAGAGAAGAGAGAAGAGAAGAGAAGAGAAGAGAAGAGAGAAGAGAGAAGAGAAAGAGAAGAGAAGAAGAGAAGAGAAGAGAAGAGAAGAAGAGAAAGAGAAGAGAAGAGAAGAGAGAAGAGAAGAGAAGAGAAGAGAAGAGAGAGAGAAGAGAAGAGAAGAGAAGAGAAGAGAAGAGAAGAGAAAGAAGA